AAAAGACCATAATGACGGAATATTATATTGACGGAAGATTACGAAACGTGAGAGAACGACTGCGAAATTTAAGGGAATGAAAGTTAAAGAAAATCTTTTTTTTGGGCAGTCATTAAAGGAGTTTAAATTTTGGTTCAAACATAACAAATAACCATCTATTAGGATCTTTCACATCAGACGGCCATGTCGTAAAGTGTTAAACTTCTAAGAAAAATCTATACGAACGCGTCTTTCCTCAAATCATAGACTTAAATCGTACATATTTCTCTCTACTCCGTTGCCAAACTGTAATTCTTCAAAAAAAGCCAAAAATCCACACCTGACGAGCGGTCCTCATTAACTGAGCTTCCGTTTACTTTTCATCATGACAAAAAAAGGTAAGATTATGTCCATCAAAAGATGAGATAACAAGATTGCTTGGAACTGAGTACGAACGATATTCACAAATTATTTCGAATCCTTTCAGTTCTTTGCAATGTATCACTTTTTTTCAAAAGCTCCTCTAATAGCTGCAGTACAGCGAGTTACCAGGAAGCAATTTTTTCGGAGAAAGCTTTTCTGAAAGTCTATGTTGGGTAATCATGGAAATCCGCCAAAAAAAAAAAGTTTTCGTTGTAGAAACTAAATCGGAGCATCAGACGACGATTTCGCCTACCAAATGATGCCATCATTTGCTGAGGGGACGATATTTTACAAAATAATCTTTACTTATCGAGCTGAAAGAAGGACTAAAAGCAAGGGGAAACAGCTCACGAAATAGGAATTTTGAGAAACCTTGTGGATGCAGTTGTTATAGATGACGGTCACAGCAATACAGATTATATATACTCTTCTTTGTTAACAATTCGTTTAACGTTATGTTCGTTCGTTCTTCGCTTTAGCCGTTTTACTGGAAGATAATCGGCGGTTTTTTACATACTGCGTTCTTGTTTTTTCAGCTGCATTTGCATTTCTGCACGGAATAACTTTTTGATAAGTTTCCCCTTCAATAAATCAATCTATTTGTTTGATTTCAGGGTTAACTGGACTCCAGAATATGTTAACAACAGGAAACGGAAGATTTAATTTTTGCGACAAGAACTTGGGTCTGCTGCTTGAGTTGGTAAGAATTGAGCTATGTTGCATGGGCAGTATAGTTCTGAACTTTTTTCTGTTGATATTGAAAATTTCATGAGAGAGATTTTTTGTTTATAAGTGAGGAATTGGAAAAAGAAATTTTTTGTAAGTTAGATGAATAGCCGGTTTTTCCGCTAACAACAATATTTTTATTTTCTAAACTTTTCAAGGTGTAAGAGGTGTTGTTTTTAAGGAATTATTACAGATTCACGATAAAAATTCATCATTACAGATTCATAAGGACGCTGATTCGTACAGAGATGAATTTAAAGAACAGTTTCAGCACTATTTGCAGACAGTGAAATTATTAAATCTTCAGCCGACTTTGCATAGAACTGATCTTGTTCCTTTTTTAGAACTTATCAATTTTCTCTCAATGGTAGCCTCGCATTATCCAGGTGAAATTTTCGTAGTGCATTCAAAAGAAATTCTAAAAAAACTTGTTTTCTTTTGGCTTTCACTTTCGATTTAAATATAATTTTGCACATTGATGGATTAGGTTAATTTTTGTGAATAATTTCAGATGAAGCTAAAGAATTCTCGTCTAGTATGCTTTTAGTTCTTCGTAGTCATAGTACTGGTTTGAATCCAGAAGTAAGGCGTAATTTATTTTTAACATTTTTACTGTTGTATTTTGTATTTTTTATTTTTTGTATTTCGTGCCTAGAGCTTAAAGTCCTCATATATCACTTTTTTAAAGCGTCAATATAGCAACTGGGCTAATTGCCTTACTGCAAGATCTGTTTCATCAAGATTTCACGTCGCATATGAAACTTTTCCTATCGATTTCGTTTTAGATTAGGTTAGCCTTTTGTAAAGCGCTGGTGATTCTGAGAAATAGACGGTTGGTAGACCCCCTTGAACTTCTCGAACTATTTTTCGAGTTGGTTAAATGCGATGACAAACAGTTGCGGTTAGCAGTATTTAGGATTTATTCCTTTATATAAATCCTCAATTACTACAACAAAATTTTCTTTGAAGATTTTTGAGTCATTTTGTCACTGAAAAAACACTGTTTTTATGCCTTAATTTTTGAAGTTTTCGTGCTGACAATTTAACTTTTCAGGAGATTTGTTTATGGTTCTACTGTATCTTTCCTAAAAAGATTGAGGAGTGGGAAGTATGGTCAAAAAGTAGTCTCGAACGTCCAGGCATCTTTGTTCGTCAAATTGAAAGATTCCAGATCTATAGTTGCGCGTGTTGCTGAATTAGTTAGTCTCAGTTTACAGCTTTTTTTCTTCTTCACTAATTTTTCTACTTCGGTTGCTAACTTTTATTATAAAAAATTTCTAGGTACTTATTGACGCATTCAGAAAAAACATCTTGAGAGATGCTAAAAGTGCAAATGCGATTTCTGAGTGTTGTTTTCACAAGCTTTCTAGATTACAGGTGGGTTCACGTTGTATCTTATATTTGTTCAATTGTTCCTTCATTTATCGGCCTAATTTTTTTAGGTTGCTGCACTAAGATTTTTTCTCGGTTCCACAAAAGACGAGGAAGGCCTGGAAGACGATAGTGAGTCAGAAGAAGATAATGAAAAGAAAGAGGATCAAAAAACTTTAAAAGAGGCAAGTTGTTATTTTAACGGTTTTTGGTTACTAAGAAAAACCGTTATACACAGAATTCTATCTACTCTATTTTCTTCATTTTTGCAACTTGCTTTGAGGAATAGTTTTCGGTTTATTTCTTATCACTCAGAAGAATAATTGTTTACAAGATCTAAGTCAATATAAAGTTTTAATTTGATTCTGTTTCTGTGTAAGTCGTGCTGTCTTTAAATACTCACCGGTGATATAGTATTCATTGTTTTCTTGACACTCTTTTACTCTTATAATTCAAAGGATGTGAATTCCTGCTTTTTTTAGGTAGTACTTTCCTACAGAGCGGCAAAGAAAACAAGAAAGAAGATTAAAATGTTTGAAAAGGCAAAAAAGTTGATTAGCAAAGAAAAAAACTCAAAGAAAGGTCTGCGTTTTTGCAAATAATGTATTTTCCGGTTGCAATCTGCAGGTCTTGAGGACTTTATTTTTTAGAAGGAAGAAGTAAGGACTGCAACCTTTACGCTATTCAGTCGTTATATGATCCACAAACCTTTTGTGATCGTTTATTTGCTTTGTTAACGTGTAACAAGAATGAGCGATTTGACTTACGGCTTCTCAGGATTGCACTTTGTGCTCGAGTTATTGGTATTCACAAATTACAAACCTTAAGCTTCTACTCATATCTTCATCGGTATTTCCAACCGAAACAAAGAGAAGTGATTTTTTCTTATTGTACACTTAGACACTCTCCTAAATTGCCTCTTCCTGAGATTTTAACGTGCTTCAAAAATGACTCCAGGTAACTCGTTTGCTGTTATACGCAGCTCAAGCTTGTCATGAACTGGTGCCTCCAGACATTGTGGAACAGCTAGTTCGGGTTATTGCACAAAATTTTGTTACTGATCGGAACAGCCCAGAAGCCATCACTGTTGGATTGAATACTATTCGTGAAATTTTTACCAACTGTTCTTTCGCCGCAACTGAAGATTTATTACGTGATTTGACTGAGGTACTTTGCACTTATAGTGGAAAAAACAAGACTTTTTTTGTACATCTCTCTTTAGATTAGTTGGTATTTCGTGGAACAGACCGCAGCTTTACTTTTCACACCACATTTTCTCTTTTTTTTTTTTTTTTTTTTTTTTTTTTTTT